GCACAGGACTTCAAGGTTTCCTGGTGTTCCACAGCTTTGGAGGGGGCACGGGCTCTGGCTTCACCTCGCTCCTGATGGAGCGGCTCTCTGTTGACTATGGCAAGAAATCCAAGCTGGAGTTCTCCATCTACCCAGCTCCCCAAGTGTCCACAGCCGTGGTTGAACCCTACAACTCCATCCTGACCACCCACACCACCCTGGAGCACTCAGACTGTGCCTTCATGGTGGACAACGAGGCCATCTATGACATCTGCCGCCGCAACCTGGACATCGAGCGCCCAACCTACACCAACCTCAACCGCCTCATCAGCCAAATCGTCTCCTCCATCACAGCTTCTCTGCGCTTCGACGGGGCCCTCAATGTGGACTTGACAGAGTTCCAGACCAACCTGGTGCCCTACCCTCGCATCCACTTCCCCCTGGCCACCTACGCACCAGTCATCTCTGCAGAGAAGGCCTACCATGAGCAGCTGCTGGTGGCAGAGATCACCAATGCCTGCTTCGAGCCTGCCAACCAGATGGTGAAGTGTGATCCCCGGCATGGCAAGTACATGGCCTGCTGCTTGCTGTACCGTGGAGATGTGGTGCCCAAGGATGTCAACGCCGCCATTGCCGCCATCAAGACCAAGCGCAGCATCCAGTTTGTGGACTGGTGCCCCACAGGCTTCAAGGTTGGTATCAACTACCAGCCGCCCACTGTGGTGCCTGGAGGTGACCTGGCCAAGGTGCAGCGTGCCGTGTGCATGCTGAGCAACACGACCGCCATCGCCGAGGCCTGGGCCCGCCTGGACCACAAGTTTGACCTGATGTATGCCAAGAGGGCGTTTGTACACTGGTATGTGGGCGAGGGCATGGAGGAGGGTGAGTTCTCTGAGGCCCGGGAGGATATGGCTGCCCTGGAGAAGGATTACGAGGTGGGCATGGACAGCGTGGAGAGGAAGGGAGAGGAGAATGAGGGAGAGGAATACTAAGGGAATCTGGTGTGTCTGTCCTAAGTAAGTGCTGGGGTCTTATTGTCTCACTAGTGTCTTTTTCTCTTGGTAAAAACCATGGGGGGAGGGCTTCTCCTCCATGAGTGATAGTAAGGCTGGTGTCTCAGCCTGAGTCCCCAGAAAGCAGATCTGATATTAGATTTTATTAAGAAGTTCAATTCCAGGGAGCAGAGTGGGGACCAAGGGGAGTAAAGCAAGGAAGGGGGGAGAATTCACCTAGAGAAGAGAAGATGCAGCTGAATAAATGATGGTCTCAAAAACATCCTTGGGTGCACGGATAGGTGAGGGTGTGAGGGTGTGCACCGGCTTTATTCTTCTGTTGGTTAGACCTCGCCCCACCAAGTATCAACTCCCCTGCACTTCTGAGTTGCACACACTTGGGCTGTAGAGTCAGTAGGAAACCCTGGGGGAAGAAGTGCTGTTAAATTGCACATATATGAAGGTGGTGGGAGTCCACACAGAGCTACAAGAGCCTCGTGAGGCCAGGAGGATCCCACATGATGCCTTAGGGTAATCTGATAGAGCTGGTGCTCACTAGCCCCCTACAATCTGGAGCAGTGTCTTCTCCAGGCAGGAGGTTGGGGTATGGAGAGTCCAGAAACTGGCGCTGAGGCAGAACAGTAGCATGGTGGCAGCAACGAGTGGGGAATGGCGGTGGGGGGAGGTAATCTCCATCAACATTTGCCACTTTTTTTTTCTTTGGGTGGTTGGCCAGTATGAGGATTGAACCCTGGACCTCAGTGTTATTGGCACCACGCTACCAACTGAGCCCAATACTCACCACTTTTTCATAAAGACCGTTGACATTTTTTCAATCCTATGCCATGCGTTATGCCAGCAAAGCTTCAAGACCCCACTTCCAAACTGATGGCGGCCCTTAAGTCCTTTCATGTGGACTTTTGCTAGCATCTGCTGGGCTGGAGAGATGGTTTAACCACTGGAGATGATGGAACGAGGGCAGTCCCCACCCCAGCCCAACCCGGGAGAGATTTGATTCTCAGTGTTGCCCTCAGACTGTCCTTCCTGCAGTCTCCTTTTCCTAGACTTGGTGTAAGTTCCCAAGATTGGATGCTAGGAGGCCAGGCCATGGCTCACTTGGGAGAGAGTGGTGCTGACAACACCAAGTCAAGGGTTAAGATCCCCTTACCAGTCATCTTTTAGAAAAAAAAAAAAAAAGATTGGATGCTAGGAAGGCCATCCAAAAGTTAGCAACACCAGGAAGCTACTGTCACCCCTAGGGTGGAGGAACCAAGGGCTGAGATGTGATACCAGAGCCTTAGAGCTGGAACCACCAGGTGGGAACTGGACTACAGCAGGGCTACCAGAGGAAGCAGGAGTCATGGAGGGAGGGACATTTGGCAGGATTCAGAGCCATGGAGGAGACACAACCACCACCTGAGAGGCCATGTGATTTAGAGAGAGAGGGAGAAATACCCTAGCTCACCCTTCCTCCCACCCTCAATCTCCAGCCAGTGGTTCCCATCAGCTGAGCCTACACAGAAGCTAGATGGCAAGGGGGACCCAGGAAGAAGGGTGTGCAGCCCTGTGAGATACAGAGCAGAGTGGGGAAAGTAGGGGAGGATCTCAGAGAAAACAGGCAAATCATTGCACATATCCCCACTAGGCCTGGCATTAGGGTGCCACGCAGGGCCTGTGCTGGGTAAAAAAGGAAATGGACTGACAGTTTCCCTTTCTCATTGGGTCCCCATAGCTTGTCCCTGTCACTCTTTTTGTTTGTTTGTTTGGCAGCTGGCCTGTAAGGGGATCTGAACCTTTGACCCCTTGACATTGATGTTGTCAGCACCACACTCTAACCAGGTGAGCTAACTTGCCAGCCTCCTGTCACTCTTGTCTCAGTAATCACTTGTAGTAAGTAGACGACCGAGTGGAAGCAACAGGTCGGTGGGGGGAGGGGAAAAGTGTGCATGCCCAGCTCAGCAGTTTCCTCTCTCTCTTTGGGAATTATTTACCCAGAGAGCAAGTATTCTCAATGCCTCTGCAGCCGCCCACTGTGGTGCCTGGAGGTGACTTGGCCAAGGTGCAGTGTGCCGTGTGCATCCTGAGCTTTGAGGATTTAAGCTTACAGGGGAGGCTCTGTCCTTGAAGAGAGAGGCCTGCAGTCATGTGCACGTATGTGTGTGTGTGGGGAGTGACTTAGTTCAGAGTGGGTATTTAGAAGCCTATTTGGCTGAATAGCTCAGCTATATCCTCCAATCCATTTTTTTCTTTCTTTAAAAGGGCTGACTTTTAAATCTCCATCTGTCTGATTCCTGTGTCTTTCTCTCCCACAACTGGTTTCAAACTTGGGAAGGCAAGAGGGGTTATTCTGGGAGCCCTTCAAATCCCTAGAAATAGCTGTGATTTATTGAGCACCTACTATGTGCTATGCCTGTTTAGTGCTGCAGTAAGTGCAGTTACTATACCTCCTGGAACGGAAGCTCCATGGGAACAAGGCCTTGGCCTGTTTTTCACTGTCCTACTCTCAGCACCCTGAACATTGCCTGATGTATTAGATGCTCAATATTTGTTGAATGAACTGGTTAAATGAATGCCTATTTTATAGATGTGGAGACTGAAGCTCAGAGAAGTTATGTGACATGCCCAAGGTTATCCAGCTAGTAAATGGAGGAGTGGGATTCAAACCCAGGTCAGCCTGGCCAAAGCTTATTCTGCTGCCTCCACTTTCCTCAGGGGCCCTCACCTCCTGCCAACAGTAGTTCCAGGCACCCCTCCAGACGCCACCTCTTCTGGTCCTGCCAGGTCCCCAGTGCCCAGACAGTGACTCAGTCACCTTGGGGGCAGGGAGGAGGTGACGCTTGACACTCCCCTGTCCAGGCTCTGGGGTGGAGGGCATCGAGACAGGGGGGCAGGGGGCAGGGGCCCAGCCTCTGGGCCTGAACTGGGGCAGAGGCTTCCTTGGGGCCAGGTTTGGGGCTGGCAGTGTCCTTTGGAAAGCATCCCCTGACATCTCATAGGAGGTGGGGTGAGGGCCTGGGAAAGGCCAGGAGGGAGGGCTGAGAGGAATGTGGGATCTTTACCCACTGGGATGGCTGGGCATCCAGAGAGGCAACCAGTCTCCCCTCCCATTTGCTATACCAGCCAGCTCACCGTGAGCAGCTTTGTGGCCATTTCCTCCTCTCAAGACCCTGCAAGGTCCCCCAGCTGCCCTGCTGGCAGGCACTGGCAGGCCTAGGTTCGATTGCATGTGGGTGTGGGGAGGTGGCGACCCAAACCTCCTGGGGCAGTTGGGAGCACCACCCAGCCTGGCTCCTGGGGACTCCCTCAGTGCAGGGGAAAGCTTTCATCCCTGATGCTTCTAAAGCCAGGGTACAATTACCTCTTGCAGGCAGACACAAAGGACAGGTTCCCAGCCTTGGATTTCACACAACAAATTTATTTCGTAGCCTCTGATGTGTCAGGAACATGCCTGCCTCCAAGTCTGTGTTCTCACCATTCTCTCCTTCTGGAACACCACCTCCCCCTGCTTGTCTCCGTGTTGCCATTCCTTTCAGCTTAGGTCACAGCCATCTAAGACCCATCCAGCCCCGGGTAGCTTTCCGTCCTCTAGCCTCTCCTGCTACCTACCATCTGTCTCTGTCACTGGTTTGGCACTTGGCATGGGCTGCCTTGTACAGTGGCACTTGGCTTCTTGTTGATGTTCTATTTCTCCAACTAGATTTTTAAAATGTATGTATGTATTTGAGCAGTTATTATGTCAACATGGTTCAGAATTTAAAAGATACAAAAGAAATTTACAAACAGCGAAAATAAATCTCCTTCATCTTGTTCCCCTCCTGGTAGCCGCCACTGTTAACTTTTTTGTTAGTGTTTCCTTCTGGAGACATCTACATATATACTAATGTGAGTATGTACATTTAATATACACTTTGTTCTACATCTTGTTTTTTCATTTAATAAATCTAGAAGATGGTTCAATGTATATAGCTATGCCTCGTTTTCTTTTTTTCTGGTGACAATGTAATATTCTTTCATATAATATGTCATGGCTTATTTAACCAGTCTGCTATTAAAAGGGGTTTAGGTTGTTTCTAATCTTCTGCTATTAAAAGGAATGTCACGACCTTCATACATACCTCTTAGCACATATGTACATGTACAATCATAAATTCTTAGAATTGGGGGCTGGCTGGTTAGCTCAGTTGGTTAGAGTGTGGTGCTGATAACACCAAGGTCTAGGGTTCAATGCCTGTACCACACACACACACACACACACACACACACACAATCTTGGAATTGCTAGGTCAAAGGCTATGTAATTTTGATGTACCTCATATTGCTCTCTTTAGAAGTTATACCTAATTATACCCTCCCACCAATGTTTGAGAATGCCTCTGCCCACAGCCTTGCCCATACAATGTATTAAACTTTTTGATGTCTGTCAAGAAGTGAAACAAAGTATTTTGTGGCAGCTTTTGTTTGTAATTCTCTAGTGAATGAGATAGAACATCTTTTCATGTTTAAAAGCCAGTATTTCCTCTTCTGTTGGCTGTCTGTGCTCGTTGCCCATTTAAAAAATTGCATTGTTCATCTTTTAGTATTAATTTGTTGGATTTCTTTGTGAACAAAAAAAATTAACCCTCTGTCTGCTAGACGTGTTCTATATAATTTCTCTCAGTTGTAATTTGACTACAACCCAACTAGATTTTCATCTTCTTGAGCATAGGACCTGGAATTTAAACCTCTGTATTCTTATTATTAATATAATGCCACATACATGTAGGTGCTAGACAAATGTCTGTTGACACAAGAGGAGTAAGAAGAAAAATGCAGAGATTTGGAAGATTTTGGAGTGACCTAACCTACTTCTTCCTCTTATGCCAAGTCCAAGCCCTTAGTCTTCAGGTCAGTCAGGACTCTTGTTGTAAAGAGCAGAAGGTAACTCTGGCAATTTTTAAAAAGCAGGCCGCACTCCCCTTCCCGCCCACACACAGGAAAATTAGCAAGATATCCGGTAGTGTGCAGAAGAATCAATGCAAGGCCGGCAAGCAAGGCTCAGCAAACAGGCAGGCACTAATGGAAGCTGCGCAGCCATAGTCAAGGTCAGGACACAGGACAGCATGTGTAGGAGACCCCTGTCCCCCTCCGCTCACTGCAGTGACCCCACCTCGGCCAGGCACTGGGGCTGACATTTCCTTTCCAGACACTAGAGGCCGCTGCAGGCTCCATCGCCACCATCAGCGCAAAAATTAATTTTCAACCACCCCTGCTTCTCTAACTTGCTCCAGATACAAAGTCCCAGCTTATGGCTTTTGCTTTTACTCTTAGAGCCGAGAAGCCTGGGAGAGCAAGCGTTGGGGCTTTGGGGCAGATGGCGGCCTGTGTCTATTAGGAACAATGCAATGGGAATTCCCTAAATGTAAGTGGAAATTCCCTGAATGTAGGCAGGAGGTTCAGATGGTGGGCAGCCAGGACAACTGGATAAATGAACACCATTTTCTTCTCTCATGTCCAGCTCAAGCCCTTCTCTTTGGTGAAGCATTCCTGGGTCACCCTGCCTGGACTCACATAATCATTTCTGCTTGGGCAAACCTTCAACCCCTAGAGTGTACTTAACCAGGATATGTTAAGCATATGATTAATATTTTTCATCTTTATGCCTTATAAATGCTTCCTAAGGAATTTTCATTAGATTCTAAGTGGGTATATGGAGTTGCAGAGTTTATTCACACTAAGCTCAGATGGGGCAGGAACATGTGGCTTATTTAGCATGTGTAACTGGTCTGTCCTGTGCATAAATCTTGCATCTGCTTGAGAGTGGAAGGGTGTTTTAATTCTGTTTAATTCAAAGAGATCCCTGAGGGGCTTACTACTGGAAGTGTGTCCCATAGACTAGAGTCTCTGTACCTCCTGGGAACCTGTTAGGAATGTGGGATCTCAGGTCCCACCCCAGGACTGCTGAATCAGGATCTGCATTTTAACAGTGTTCCCAGGGGGTTTGTGTGCACAATTTTTTTTTTTCTTTTTGTCTTTTTTCGTGACCGGCAACGGATCGCAACCCTCGGTGGTGCCCCCGCTCCTCACTCAGCCAGTGAGCGGCCGGTCTGCATGTGGGATCCGAACCCTCGGCGGGAGCGCCACCGCACTCCCAAGCGGCGCACTGTAGCAGTGTGCCACCGGGCCGGCCATTATGTACCAATCTTAATTTGGCTTTCAGACGACCCTAGGCACTACCTACATTTAGGGAGAAAAAGTGAGTCTTCAGAGGTTTTCCCAAATCTCACAGCAGTGCCAGGTTGCAAACCCAGGTCTGCGTGTTTCCAAAGCCTTGGGGTTTCCCAGTGGGCTATGTAGATGGGCTGGTATTTTATCAAGTTTGAGTTCTGTGAAGGCAGGGGTTGGGCCACACTCTTCTTTGTACATCCTGGTAGCATCTAGTAAGTAAAAGATGCTCAATTAATGCTGGCGGATTAGCCTGGCTGGTATCAAGCAGGAGCCAATTCTGGAAAGTTCCCTAACTTTCTCATGAGGCCTGAAACTGGAAATCGTTTCTGAGGTGGAACAGACCCACTCAGGATCAATTTGGGAAGAAAAACCCCAAGTCTGGAGATTTCCTTTTTACTGTTCCCTTTAGCCTCGCCTCCCCCAAATGTGTCAAAACTGTCAACAAGAGATTTGCATCTGTTCATTATTTAATCATTCAACAGATATTTTGAACCCCAACTATTCTAATAAATACACTGAGAAAAAGACCCAATTCCTGCTCCATGGAATTTACATTCTAGTGGGAGAGGTGAACAGTAATCAAATAATCAAGCCAGTCAATGCTCATTTGTGCCTCTGATAAGCGTGAGGAAGGAAATGCCATGAGATGCTGTAAAAGGCAGGTCCGACCTACTGCGGGAAGTCAGGGCAGCCTCTTTTGAGGACCTGGGTTTGGAGCAGGGACCTAAAGAAGGGAAAGAGTTAAGTCCAGAGGGGATCTATGAGTCCTCGAGGTGGCGATGGTCTCCAGGGTGAGTAATCACGGATCAGCGAGCATGTTTATAAGAAAGCGACAGAGGGACCAGGGGCCGGCGGCTTGTTGGCTGACCCCTTCTGTGTGTGCGCGAATGCGTCACGCCTGGAGGGATGGTGCGGGCCGCGGGCTCCCAAGTCCCATCTGGGGATGACGTCGTACTGGTGCGATCCCGAAATAGACGGCTCCGCCCCCATATCCCGGCAGCCCCTGCAGCCACCCCCATCCCCCGTCCCCGCCCGGGGTGACAGGCCGAGCCGGCCTTCTGCCGGTCTCCAGTAGTTTCCGAGCCGCGGACGCGCGCGCACAGCCAGGCCGACGGCTCCTGCGGGGGCAGGGGCGGGGCGCGCACGAGGCCCGGACGCCCGGCGGAGGAGGTGCGGCGGGGGCCCAGGTCAGGCCGGGGGCCCTGGGCTGGGCTGCTGGCGGTTGGGGTTCCGACAGGGCTCCCCGGGCCTGGGCACCGAGATAGCCTTTGGCACCGGCCTGCGGGGGCAGATAAGGCTGCGGAAGTCGCCTAGTCACCGGCCGCGGGCAGAGGGCGGCGGGCTCCGCTGCCACCTCCGAGGCCTCCGCCACTCGGAGGGGGGGTTTCCAGGCGCAGGGACGGGCTCTTGGCTCCCGCTGCCTGACTGCTTCTCTCCCGCAGCCCCGAGGAGGCCCGCCTGACCACTGGGTTGCCATGGCATCCTACTACGACATCCTGGACGTGCCGCGGAGTGCGTCCGCTGACGACATTAAGAAGGCGTAAGTGCCGCGGCGGCGCTTCGGAAGCCCCTCACCTCGCCCCCCACCATGGGGCCCTCGCAGACACACCTGGAGCTGAGGGAGCCAGGTCCTTAGAAAGCACTGAGGGGGCTCCCTCAGAGTGACACCTGAAGGGAGGAAGGAGACCCTTGGAAGAGTGGAGAAGTTCGCCTGGACGCTGCCCTGTGGGTCCTTCTCCGGTGGCCCCCCTCCCCTCCCTTTCACTCCACTGCTCCTCCAACCCCCAGCCCCTAGGTGTGGGCTTTTTCAGGATGCAGTGCAAAGACGCCCAGGCTCTGAGAGGAGGAGGGGCCGATGTCGCTCTACTCTCCGTGGCCACATGTGCCCCCGGCCTTGGCAGCCCTGGTCCAGTGAGCCCCAGGGAGGGGTTAGGCCGGGATTTTCTCACCCTCACATTATCATCTGCTCATAAGTATGGTCCTAGCACTGGCTGCAGAGAGGAGAGAGGAACGCCATGAAAACATCGCGACAGAGGCAGCCTTGACAGCTGGGGTAGATGGGATCCCAGTGGTGAAAGGACAATAGTGGGCTAATGAGAAAATGGGTCGTTCAGTTCCTTGGTGGGAAGTACCTGCAATTGTCCCCTGACACCCCCTCTGAACCCACTTCCTGCAGGTATAGGCGCAAGGCCCTACAGTGGCACCCAGACAAGAACCCGGACAATAAAGAGTTTGCTGAGAAGAAATTCAAGGAGGTGGCCGAGGCATATGAAGTGCTGTCTGACAGTAAGGGCTGGATCAAGGCAGGGCCCAGCACATCACCCCCACCCACTTCATGCCCCATTTCACTCCTTCCCAAAGCCATGCCTCTGCCACCCCGGTCTCCTCCGTGCCTTTTTCCAACCTGGCATTTAAGTCTCCCCTCCCCCACACATGCACACAGGGACAGCTCAGTGTCTGCTCCCCAGGGTCTGGTAGGAGCAGCATGGCCTGCCAAGGGGAAGGAAGCAGGACAGGGAGCGGATGTGCACTGACTTCTGTGCCAGACACCATGTGTACTCTCCACGAGTCCTCACAGCCATCCTGTGAGGCAGGCTTTATCACCCCCATTTATAGGCAAGGAAATTAACTTGCTCAAGGTCACACAGAGCTGGACTATGAATCCAGATCTGTCTTTTACTCGTTCATTCATTCACTCATTCAAAGAGTATTCACCGAATGCTTATGGTGCCAGGCACTTGTTGGGTGCCAAGGAAACAGTGGAGGACAAGCAGGCACTGTCCTTGTCCTTAGGGGTTTCTCATATTCTGGCCAAGGAAGACTGGCACCAATCAGGTAAATACAGAAACAAGGTTATAGATTGTGAAGAGTATTCCAAAGCATAGCAGCAGGGTGATGTGACAGGGAACAATGGGCACCCGATTTTGTTAGGGTGGTCACAGAAGGCCTCTCTGAGGAGGGGACATTTAGACGACGCCCTGATTAATAATAACAGTAACAATTAGCTAACATTTATTAAGCACTTACTGTGTGTCAGGCACTATGCTAAGTAGTTTACGTGGCTTATCTCATTTAATCTTTGCAACACCCCTAGGAGGTAGGTGCTGTTATTATGTCCATTTCACAGATGAGGAGGGACCAGCTGTGTGAAGGGCTGAGCTGCTGCTAAAACCTATTGGCCTAAAACCCCTGGACACTGTGCTGCCCCCCAAATTTCAGTCTCTGGGCAGTCCTCTGAGGGTCCTAACCTGGGAGGGGAGGCCGTTATCCCAGGGGGAGGCCGTTATCCCAGAGCGAGGGAGAAATGATCTGGTCTCTCTTTCCAGAGCATAAGCGGGAGATCTACGACTGCTATGGCCGGGAAGGGCTGACAGGGGCAGGTAGGTGGAGTGGGAGTGGGGGGGTGGTGCCCAGGGATGGAAGTGGGTCAGGGAGGAGGGGGGAGGGCAGGTTCTTGCACTGGATATGCTCTCTGAGGCTCCTGGTCATGCCTTAGGTGGGATCCCCTGGCTCAGGGCAAGATGCACGCCCTAAGCCACCTCCTCACCCTGCCTCTACTGCAGGAACTGGCCCATCTCGGGCGGAAGCTGGCAGTGGTGGGCCTGGCTTCACCTTCACCTTCCGCAGCCCTGAGGAGGTCTTCCGGGAGTTCTTTGGGAGTGGAGACCCTTTTGCGGAGCTCTTTGGTGAGTTGACTCAGGAGGCCCCTGAGGGGCTCAACTTCCCCCTCTTGGCCTGCCCTTCTATCAGCTGGGAGGCCCTTAAGTAGGAAGCTGAGAGGCAAGGAGAATTCCAGACAGAAGAATCAGGTTGGGGTGGGGCGTGGGGTTTGGGGGTGGGTCCAGTGAGAGCTGGGACAGAACCTCACACATGCCAGAACCCATGTGACCCAACAACAACACTTCACAGACTCGCCTTAGTAAATGACAACAGTACATTGTTAGCCTCCAGTAACAGCTATGAAAGCAAGCCTCGAAGCATCATGTGACAATAATAACAACATTAACCTTAATCTTAACAACAGATACCATTTTTGAATGATTAATATGTGCCAAGTATTTTACATCCTCTAGTGAACCCTGGGTGTGGGTAATTTTATCCCCATTTACAGATGAGAAAACTGAGGCACAAATAACTGGCTTAGAGTCACACAGAAAATGGTGGAGCTGGGACTCCTAGCTGTGCCTGCCTCGTGTCACATCGTCATTATCTGCCTGCACTGGAACGGCTGTCTGTCCTTTCTCCCTCTTTCTCTTCCCCCCTTCCTTCCTTTATTCTTTATTGTAGACAGAATTAACCAGTGAGTGTTTTTACATACAGCATTAAAAAGGAATTTGATTTTTAAGTTAGCCCAACCAAAAACAAACAAACAAAAAAAGAGAGAGAATGTACCCAGTTGTTTAGCAGCTTGTGTTTCTAGACTTAAATGCAGGGGTCACACATTTCTGGGGGGGAACCTCTTCACCAGATGACTGTTATTCTGTTTACTTGTTGCAGATGACCTGGGCCCTTTCTCGGAGCTTCAGAACCGGGGTTCCCGACACTCTGGCCCTTTCTTTACCTTCTCTTCCTCCTTTCCTGGGCATTCCGGTAAGCACTGTCCCTTCCCATTTTTGTAAGCTCTGAGTCTTGGAACCCCTGGCATCAGCTTGTTGCTTTTCCAAGCCCATCTCCTGTACCTGGAGCCCTGCCTCTGCACAGCTGCGCAGGAGGCGCACCGAGGTTCCTGGCCCTTGGTGCCGGCAGCAGGCAGCATACAGCCTCCACCTAACAACCTCCCTTCCTCCTCCTTTGTCCCGATGCTAGATTTCTCCTCCTCATCTTTCTCCTTCAGTCCTGGGGCTGGTGCTTTTCGCTCTGTTTCTACATCCACCACCTTTGTCCAAGGACGCCGCATCACGACACGCAGGTGAGGGCTCCTTCTGGGGTCATATAGGGTGGAAAGGTCTGGGGGGAGGGGAGAGGTGGGAGTTGTGTACAAATAGAAGTCAGCTGCTGAGGGCAGGGCATGGTTTTCAGTGGCCAGAGCCTGAACCAGCAGCTGCAAGACTTGGGCACTGCTGGTGGACTGAACTGTGTTGTCTCCCACAGAATCATGGAGAATGGGCAGGAGCGGGTGGAAGTGGAGGAGGACGGGCAGCTGAAGTCAGTCACAATCAATGGTGAGGAGCGGCTTCGCCATCCAGTCCCTGGCAGCAAACCCCACCCCTAAAGCGCCCTCCCCAAACTGCTCCTCTCTGAATTCCCGTGGAGCTGGGAGGGAATGGCAGCCACAGGCCAGACTGGCAGGATCAGAGAAGGCAATCCTGGGGAAGGGGACAGAGGAGTCTCAGAGTGCTGGCTGATCACCACCATCATTAGTGGGGTGCTTTTCATTTGCAAAGGACTGTACTGTTTTTAAAGCACTTGTACATATACAACGTCCCTGGTATTCTTAAAGCATCCAGGGGAGTAAGCAGGGCTGATGGTATTTGCCCAACTTTTATTTGAGGAGGCCAGGCCACAGCATGGTTAAATGACCCTAACTCCCAAGTAGCCCCAGGCCCAAGACTTTTTCCTACCAAGTAAGGGGTATAGCCAGGAATCAAACTCAGGATGCACAATTCCTGGTGCAGAACGCCATGCTATACAGGATTGTCACCATGGCTAACCTTCCATGCCTACCAATTGTGGAAGCACCAAGTTCCAAGTACTAGACATGGGTTGTCTTATTTAATCATTGGAACAATTTGAATATGTGGGCACTTCCATCACTCCCATTGTAAAGATGAGGAAAAGGAGGCATAGGAGGTTGAGTGACTTGCCCAAGGAGACAGAGCTCTTACCTGGTGGAGCTGAATACCTCCCTGTGCCCATAATCACTACCCTAGGTTCCAAAATGAACACATGCTGATTCCAAAAGGGAGGCTGGAAGGGGTCAGGGTTGTTACTTCAGGAGGCGGCTTGGCAGGACGCCCCTGGCCTGGGTCAAGGGCCTCATGGTGGCTGTGCCTCTTGCAGGTGTCCCAGATGACCTGGCACTGGGCTTGGAGCTGAGCCGTCGTGAGCAGCAGCAGTCAGTCACCTCCAGGTCTGGGGGCACTCAGGTCCGGCACACCCGTGTGTCACACCCCTCTGACAGCGACCTCTCTGAGGATGAGGACCTGCAGCTTGCCATGGCCTACAGCCTGTCAGAGATGGAGGCAGCTGGGAAGAAACCGGCAGGTGGGCGGGGGGTGCAGCGACGGCGGCAGGGGCAGCCCAAGGTCCAGCACCAAAATCCAGGCATGCTGGGGACCCATGGGGGTGCAAGGGGCGAGGCAGCCAAACGCAGCCCGTCCCCAGAGGAGAAGGCCTCTCGCTGCCTCATCCTGTGAACACCAGGCCCAACCTGACCTGACTCAGGTCTTGACTGGGGGTCTGGCACACTGTCAGGGGAGCCAAGTGGAGTGTGGCCTGAGATGCAGGGGCTCGTCTCCAACTCCATGCTCCCTCCACAAGTTCCCTTCTGGCCCACGGACTCTGCTGTGGACTTGGGATTTGCTGTGCTCAGCTCAGGACTCATAGGTCCCTGGGAAGCCAGGGTGGGGGCGTGTCAGGGAAGTGGGAGGGAGGAGCCAGGATCTTCTTGGATGGGGAGTTTCTGAGAAGTATTAGTGGTTGGAGTTGGGCCTTTGTGCCCAGGTCCTCTGCCACCTTTGTTGCTGATGGTGTCAAGGAAGGAGGACTTGGCCTGGAGTTCTCTGAGCCCAAATTGGCAGCTACACTGGGCAGCAGTGCAGGCTGAGTGGAGTCTCCCGCTCTCCTTGTCCAGCTGCAGACACCCCACTCTGGTTTCTGTGCAGCGTTGAGCTCTGATGGTCTCTGTTGCTTCCCTTCTGGTGCTGTTTCTCCTTCCTCCCACTCTTCTCTCTGCAACTCCCTTCGGGCCGCACCGCTTGCTTTCACTGCCGCCTGCCTAGGACTCCCTTCTCCTTCCTTTCCGAGAAGGCCTCAGTGTGGCGAGGAAGATGCTGGGGCTGGTAGGGCCCTGAGGTCTTCTGGGGAGGCTAGCTGGGTGGGACGGGAGCCTCTCAGAGTCCAGATTCGGAACCGGAGTCCACTCCTCCTCCCTTCCTCTTGCCGCCTCAGCCTGCCCCTGGCCTCGGGACTAGGCAGAGGTGAGGCTGGCTAACCCTGGAAAGGTGGGATAGGGCCAGGGTAACCCAGGAGGGAGGCCTAGGAGGGGACTGTACCCCCCACCCACCATGCATCAGGGCTCAGGGAGAGGCCACACGGCTAGCCCAGGTCTGCATGCTCGGCTCCATCCTCCACGGCTTGCTGCTGACCCTCTCTCCTGTCACCCCGCCCCCGCTCTCTCCCCAGATGTGTTCTCAGGGCTCAGGGAGAGGCCACACGGCTAGCCCAGGTCTGCATGCTCGGCTCCATCCTCCACAGCTTGCTGCTGACCCTCTCTCCTGTCACCCCGCCCCCGCTCTCTCCCCAGATGTGTTCTGAGCTGGATGGCCGGGATCCAGAATCGCTGCACGGTTCCAACAGGACAGCGCTCCCCCATGCGCTAGGAGGGGACACTCCATTCCTCTCCCTCACCCATGGCTGAGTTTAGTGCTGTAGTGACGGGGCCTGGGTGGTGGGTGGGGCTGGGTGGGAGGCATCAGTAGTCATCCTGTGAACTCTCTTCCCCCTGGATCTGGTGCTGTCTCTTGAGTACTACAAGTCCCAGAATGCAATGCACTGGCCTCATTTCTGGTATGTCAGGCTTGGGGGAAGTAGTGTGTGGTTATGGAGCTGTGCATCTTGGGACATGTAGTTCCAGTCCACACAGGCCTGTAACTCCCTGTGAGATGAAGGTCTTGTCTTTTGATTTGTCCCTGGCAGGGGTGGCGAGAATGTGGGTGAAGGGGGAATGATCAGAGCCTCAGTTCCCTTGACACCTCTCGCTAGCCCCAGGGTTAGAGAGTGGGCAAATAAAAGCCCTGCACATTTGGGAGAGAGTCTTTTCCTATGGGCAGCCTGGGGTCCGAGGAACAAGCCAGGAAAGGCAGCAGACTAAGCAGGGCGTGGGCTCACAGCTTTGAAGGAAAGGCTGTCCTTGTGGGGCCTGTGTGGCCAGGATTGGCATGTGAGGGGAGCTCGGGCATGCTGCTGCTTGTATGGCTTTCTTTGGCCCCGACCCTGCTACCCATTCTTTCTCTCCAACATCATGAGCTGCCTCTCCTCCCTGTCTGGGGAGCCCAGTGGCCAGGGAGGGGAGTGGTGGAGCCGGGGTGTTGCCAGCCTGTACGCTGAGCTTCAGAGACCTATCAAAGCCAGCTGGGCCAAGCTCAGACAGAGGGAAACACTGGAAGTCAATAAAACTGTTTTGAGACCTTGGTGGTACACTGTGTTTCTGTTCCTCCTTTCCAGGTTGGCCCAGGAGGGACCCTGTGGGCCCAGTGGGTGACACTTCAGGCCTTACTTCTTTTATGTCCAAACAGCTAGAGGGGCAAGCCTTGTCAGTTGACAGCAGAAGTCCCCTCTTTGACCAAGCTGCCCTCCCCAGGGATGTTGTGCAAACCTGAGAAATGCTTACATTCTTTGCCTTCACCTTGGAAGCCCACAATGGGTTTTCCCCAGCAGCTGATGTTCCCCTAATGAGGGGACTCACCACCAATACTCCATGGCACAGCTAGGACCAGACTAAGTTGAAATTCAACTGAAGCCCCTTGGCAGTTTTCTTAGCTCACAGCCAGAGGAGTGAGCCAGGGGCACATGGAGCGGTACAATTCCATCCTACCCTGTGTCCAGGCCCCAAACTCATCAGGGCCCAGGGAGGAAAAAGCAGGCACCCCTCCCCTTCTATCTCCAGCCATGGGACAAACACTTTTCCGTTGTCAGGCAGGGTAGTAGAGCTCTGTATTGCCTCTCTTCCATTCCAGGACAGGCTCTCTGCTTCACTTTCAATAGCAGAGGGCCTATAATGTATTTTTCTCAAAGTGAAGCAGCAGCCTGCCCTGAGACGAATTTCAAACCCCCCTCCCTGGAGAGAGAGAGAGACTGACTGCTGGAAGTATGCAAAATGGCTTTTTTCCCCACTTCTAGCCTTTGAGATGTGTCATATATTGGAGATGAGCCTCAGCAGATTACAGGTGCGGCAGTAGGAGGGTCTGTGGTCTGCTGGCTGGTCTCCACTCCCTGCTCTGGGCAGATGGTATTTGCCCTAGTTTTCATTTGAGGAGACTGAGCCTCAGCAAGGGTGAGTGGCCCTCTCAGGTAAGCCCCAGACCCAAGGCTCTTTTCGCCTCATTTCTATATACACCACCTTTGTCCAAACCACCTCATGACATGCAGGTGAGGTCTCCTCCCAGGATCATATAGCATGGAGGGTTCTGGGCGGGGGGGGACAGAGAGGAAGAAAGTGTCCCTAACCCCCAGGAGAGTGCCTGTTCTGACATCTCACAGGCCTGGCCTAGTGTCACTGTCAGAGATTTGCTATAGTTTTGCCTAAGGTGTGACAGGCATCTTGCCAGTGGCCCCTCGTTCAGTCCTAACCTCAATCCTGCGTGACAGATGTTATTCCCGAGGTTGAGGGGCAGGAAGCAGCTGCCCTAGAACTGAGAAGAGAGGCAATAAAGAGACTAAGCTGCCTGGTTTCGAATTCTAACTGCACCACTTACAAGTTGAGTTACTGCAGGCAAGCTCTGTGCTGCAGTCTCTCCGTCCCTCCATAGGCTCTGTCGTGAAGGTTAACTGAGCTTGTACGGAAAGTGCCCTGAAGGCTGCTGCCGCACAGGAAGCGCAGCATGAAAGCTAAACCCGACTGCCTCATTTTCAGTAGCTACTATTCAAACCCAGGAGAGCCTGACTCCACAGCCAGCACTCTCCCCAGACTGAGGCTGGGGCTGGAGTCTGGAAGCAGAGCAGACAAATGTAAACCCGACTGCCTCATTTTCAGTAGCTACTATTCAAACCCAGGAGAGCCTGACTCCACAGCAAGCACTCTCCCCAGACTGAGGCTGGGGCTGGAGTCTGGAAGCAGAGCAGACAAATGTGTAGGAGTCCGGGTTGCAGCTGCACAGACAACACACTAACTTTATTCACATAGATACAAAAGTAGATTTTTCTAGAAATGTTCTCTTGTGCCAGAGGGAGAGCAGTTGAGCGGCGCGTGGCAGGAGGTTGGTGGGAGGAGGCCTGAGGGTGAGGGCAGGGAAGGCAGAGTGCCAGAGTGTGGGTCAAGGAGCCAGGCCAGGGTGGCAGGGGCTGGGAAAGCAGCAGAAGCCAGGCCTGGTGAACCTCCACCCTGTGCTGTCCACACTGGAGGGTGGGAGAGTGCACCTGACGTGTTGGGAGCATCCAGAGCCACCAAGAGTGTGGCCAGGGAACTTAGGCAGGAGAAGGCTCCATGTAGAATTGCTGCCCATGTCCTTTGCTCTCCTCCTGGCCCACTGCTGGCTCCCCCGTGGGATGCCCTGGGCTCCGCATGTGGGGCTGCGCAGGCCTGCCCCTTCCCACCTCCCCTTCCTTACCTACTCCTCTTGGAAGGGCTGGGCAGGCCCATGGGGGCCAAGATGGCAGGTGAGGGGTTGAGGAGTGGGGCACAGATAGATGCTCACACAGGCAAAGAGGGGATGGAGGCTGGCTGCCCACTGAGGGGCCCTGTGGGTCTCACTGGGGTAGGGCCTTGAGGATGGCATTCACCTCCTCTGCCACCGCCGTCAGGGCAAATTCAAACTGGTCCTGGGGAAGGACAGTGGCAGGAGGGTCATGGGGAGGCCTGGCTTCTACTACTGCCCCAGGGGTAACTTTGGGGGAAAGCACTGGGCAGGTCCCATGGGAGAAGCGGAGTCCTCCTGGGGGAGGTACAGAGGCAGGTGGCAGAGGCAGGCTGCTGCTGGTTTCCCTGGGGTGCTAGGGAAGGATGGCAGCTAGGGTTAGGCAGGGAGGCACAGTCACCTTAGAGCGGACGAGGCCAGGTCGTTGGTCACGGACGTGCTCCAGGGTGGCAGCGATGTCGATCTCCTTCACTCCTGGAGATGGGGAAGAGGGGCACAGGGCTGCTCAGAGGGTGTCCAGAGGTGGATAGGACCCAGAGAGCCTGGGCATCCTGGGGTGGGAAGCTTGAAGGATTGGGCAAGGCCTGGAGGTGTGACAACCTGCTCCTCCACAAGCTCCTAGGACCCTGGTGCTGGGGGGACTCTAATCAGGGCCCGGGGCTGCAGGCACTGTGGAGACAGTCCTCACCCTTTGCCATACGGTTCAGTACCATGTCGATGAGTATGTAGGTGCCAGTCCTCCCTGCACCGTCACTGAAACAGGAGTTGGAAACAAGGCTGAGCTCAGGACCCAGCAGAAAGGGGAAGGGACAGAGGAGACATGGAGGTTTAGGGTGAGACGGACACTGGTTGATTCATTAGGGTTGGCTAGGGGAGGGTGGGAGTGAGCCGGATGAGGGAAAGGGTGTGGCACCTGGAGCCCTGCCTGGGAGACAGTGACCCGTGGGGTGTCACTTGGGCACTGGGACAACTGAAAAGGAGAGCCGAGGCTCAGCCCTGAGGTGGAGGCTGTAGGAAGGAACGGGAACGGGCCTCTACAGCCTGTGGCCAGGCTTTAGTTCCACCAACTTGTTGTGTAAAGGGCCGGACAGTAAATATTTTCGATTCTGTGGGCCACATATAGTCTCTGTCAGACATTCTTTTTTTTTCCTTCAACCATTCAAAAATGTGAACACCATTCTTAGCTCATGGGCTATTAAAACAACAGGTGGTGTGCCAGCGGGGGCCCAGCAGCTACAGTCTGCTGGCACCAAGGGGACAGGCAGACAAGGACCAGAGAGAGGGCGGGAATCAGGAGTGCCCCACCCCAGGGCCCACCGGCCTGGGCTGCCTTGTCCCCTTCTGACCCCAGCACCACCCCCAGCCCCTCACCACCCACCTGCAGTGCACGATGACGGGGCAGGAGCGGCCCCGGTAGCACTTGTTCACCTTCCTGCAACAAGAAACGGCTGTGAGGGCCAGAGGGCACCAGCCGAGAGGGAAGGGAAGCCGGACACGCCCCGGTGGGCCTCCCTGTCTTCCTCTTCTCCCCGCATACCCAGGGCAGAGGGGGAAGAGGGTTGGAGAAAGCAGTGAGAGCTGGAAGCAAAGAACCAGAGCTGGTGTGGGTGGCACTGGGCTTGCCTTGTCACTGCCACTTACGAGCTATGAGCCCAAGCTATGCACCTGGAACAACTGACTTAACCTCTTTGAGCCTCAGTTTGCTTATCTGTAAGATGGGGGACAATGATATAGTAACCTTATCCTTAGGGTTCTTACAACAATTACGAGATAATCCATGTAAAAAACTAAGTGCAAGGTCTGGCACACAGTAGGTGCTCAATAAATGGTAGCTGCTATTAATGATAATACCTAATAATATTAACAGCCGCCTCTGCCAGAAGTCCAAGGGGGATAGGTTTTCTGGTGACTTCAAGGATGTCAGTCTTGCCACATCCCTACTGTGCCCCTTTGCCATCCTCTTCAACCACCCAGGCTCTTCCCTTCCCCACTCGGGCTCCTTGTGGTCCTCACCAGCTGTGGTGTCAGGTAGCCCTGGGCAGAGTTTTTCTGGCCAGGGGAGGACAATCCCTCGACTCTGAACATTGTGCTGCTGTCTCCCTGGATCAGCCTCGCCTCAGCCCAGGCATTGTGTGGCTGGGTTATATTCAGACTTGGGTCCACTTGGATCTCAGACCCTTCTCTGGTGTCCCTGACCACAGTCCAACAAGGAGCAGGGGTTTCTTCCTTCCTCAATGGCCCCATACCCCTTTGTCCCGTATGACCTTCCTCCTTTGAGAGTCGCAGGAGCCACGTGACTTTGAGAGGTTTTACAGGGGTCCATATGGTTTTCTAGCACACCGGCTGGTGCGTCAGAGGGCTGGGGTTGAACAGTAGTCACAACAGTGGTTTCCAGTCATTTAATAATAATGGTAATATATGGTATCTAGAATTAACTGAGCCCTTGCTATGTGCCAGATACTTACTTCCCTAAAGTATGTGTCAAACATCCTCATTTCACAGAGGGAGGTCAAGGAACTTGCTCGGGCTTACTGCTAGGACATCTTTTATTAATTTGCCTTCACCAAACTGCATTTATTAAGCAACAATTAATTTTTTCTGGATGTCTCATGCCAACTAAGTTTACATAATTCCAGGCTAAAGCAAAGAAACCTTTCAGCTTACCTGTGCAGCCTTAAAACAGATCCATGCACTAGTTCTCTCAGGATTTTTAAAATGTGGAAAAAAAGAAATAGCTCCAATACCCTGGCATTGCTTTCAAGATGTCTGTGCCTCAGGCCCCAGGGACCCCAGTTAGAAACCATTGTCCTGAGGTTCAGAAACTATACCCAGGTCCTCACCCCC